TCGAAATTTCGCCCCTACCTTTACGACAGGCCCTTCAAAGTTGTGAGCGACCACCACGCATTGTGTTGGCTAGCCACCTTGAAGGACCCTTCAGGTCACCTCGCACGGTGGAGCCTGAGACTTCAACAATATGACATTACTGTCATTTACAAATCCGGCAAAAAACACTCCGACGCCGACTGTCTCTCTCGTGCGCCTGTCGACCAACCACTACCCGACGACCCGGATGACGACTATTTCTTAGGAACGATAACTACCGATGACTTCGCTGAACGACAGAGGGCCGACCCGGAACTTAAGACCCTAATAGAATACCTCGAAGGCAGGACCGCCGAAGTCCCGAAGGTATTCAAGCGCGCACTTGCGTCGTTCTTTCTACGAAACGGTCTTCTACAAAAGAAAAACTTTTCACCGCTTCGAGCTAAGTGCCTCCTTGTGGTGCCTTCAGCTCTGCGACCAGAACTCCTGCAGGCTCTGCACGACGATCCGACGGCAGTGCACCTCGGTCCGTCCGTCCGCCTGTCCGTCCGTCCGTCCGTCCGTCCGTCCGTCCGTCCGTCCGTCCGTCCGCCCGTCCGTCCGTCCGTCTGTCCGTCCGTCTGTCCGTCCTTCTGTCCGTTCGCCTGTCCGTCCGCCTGTCTGTCCGTCTGTCCGTCTGCCTGTCCGGCCGTCTGTCCGTCTGTCCGGCCGTCCGTCTGCCTGTCCGGCCGTCCGTCTGCCTGTCCGGCCGTCCGTCTGCCTGTCCGGCCGTCCGTCTGCCTGGCCGCCTGTCTGGCCGTCTGTCTGTCTGGCCATCCGTCTGTCTGTCCGTCTGTCTGGCCGTCTGTCCGTCTGTCCGTCTGTCTGTCCGTCTGTCTGGCCGTCTGTCCGTCTGTCCGTCTGTGTTACGATTCTACCCCAGGGCCACTGGTTAAGCACTTGCTGTACGCCCAGCCAGTAGCTGCATTCGTACTAGTAGCTGCATTCGTGCTTGTGAATATTGTCGATCAAAAAGTATATACGCATATCAGGTGCAACATCACTATCCAAGTACTAGGTGCTTATTCCTTTGCTATACCTAGATAAGTAACTTTAATGACGATAGTCTCCTATAGGGTGCTCTGAAAATGCTACGATATGCACAAAAAGACCCTCAGCCGACAACATGGCGCTGCCACATGGCAGGACGGAAATGGTACGAGAACAGCAGCACGGTCGGCTGCGGATTAGACTAGCCCCCGTATTCACAAATGCTCCTCGACTCGACTTTCACCCTTCATTTGACAGAGTTTAGCACTGCGCCGTTGCTCGGCTGAAAATGACGCTGCGCTACTCAAGAATCGCCGCAAATTAACGCTGATATGCAGTGACTTTTTCTGCCTCAAGATAACGCTCCCATCGGCTTTCTCAAGTGAAGGTGGAGCGTTGAGTGAAGGGGCGTTTTAGAATACGGGGGTAGGACTCAGGTAGCACCGCCGGCAGAAGACTCTCGTCTTTTGACGACATTCGCAGTGAAGGACGCAGATATGCGGCCAACTTTTTATTTGCATCGCTCTCAATTTTGTCCTCGTGGCAATCAAGCGATTTGTTCCTCACAGAAATCACAGGCTATTACAATACTTCTAAGCTGCACACTCACAGCAATGAAGTACATCAAGTTCACATCTAGCAAATAACTTAGAAGAGAACGTCATTAAAGTTACGATGACGGGAGTGAAATATATTTAACAGAGCCGCGGAACGATGGTTGATGAACTTTTTTTGTCGATACAAAGTGTCAAGTTTGTCAGTACAGAGGGTTTGCACACTCGCTGTTTGATTGTGGTGTGTGAACGAAATGGTGGTGCTGCTGGTTTTAGAGGTGCACCCGCACTCCTGATTTGCTTCCTGAAATGGCATGTCCAAATGCAGGCTGTACAAGTGTTCCCTTAGCACTTGTCTGTGTCTCTTTTTCTTTTGAATTGTGCTGTTTCAACGCTAAGACGTTTGTGATCTAGACCGATCTGTAACCGCTCTTATGGGCAAAGTGGCTAAAAGAAGACTAAGATCCCGAATGGTTGGCCCAGTTCACTATTACAGTGTGAAGTTGCCTTTGTTTACAGTTGCAACGAATGTGCTTTCATTCTGGTCATCTTGCAGCCGCATTTTCATAGGGCTTGTGGTGAGAAGTGGGCATCAGATCGCTTTCACTAATACTTGTACATTATGGTTGTATGAACTTAGTGGCGTCTGATGATCTACAATAATGGAGTGGACGTCAACGGTTCCTAATTTCAACAGCTGTTTCTTCCCTTACCACGTCGGGGAGTCACCCGCAAAAGATAAGGGCAATACCTTGACACAGCTCCCCAGGACGCAGCGCTCCAAAGAGCCGTGTTTTAAATACCGATGAACTTCTGTGAAAAATGACCCGAAATTTCATGTGATAGATCTTGTGTGAGCCAGCGATGGCCTTCGCCATACACATTATTGGACAAAATTTTTGTTACCAAAAAACAAGCATTAGCAGCGGTCGTGACCAAATGAGATCTCCACTAAAGTTCTCATCCAGGTGACATCTCTTCAGATGTTTCGGCACAAAGCTGTAGCTTATATCCATACACGCGGTGTTGCGATTGCTAATACTCTGTATTCAGAAATTTCCTGGTGCTGACTAACACTTGTAAAAACTATGAAATTGGAAATGGTATTGTTAAAAAACTCGACGCGTTTGTCATTACCGCGTTGCTCTTCACGAGTATTGAACTCGAATTGTGAGGGATCATCTTAAACGAAAAAAAGGAAAAGACACGAGGACGAGCAAAATAAACAATTAACAATGGCGCTGTTCTCCTGCTGTTTTCTTTCGAAGTGCCAAAACACAAATTTACCCAATTGCCCATTCCACTGCAAGATATCATGTTACCCCATTTACAATACTGTGCATGTACTTGCAGCACCACAATAAAACTTTTCTTGAGGCCCGGTCCATCATGCCACTCCCTTTCGCAAGAGCATATCGGCTCACATCCTGGGTGCTTTCGACTACTTATGCATCTGCCTGTGACCTGATGTGCAGCCTGCTCTCTGGTTCATTCAAAGCTGGAGCACCGAACATGGTTCAAAGTTTGTGCCATCTATTGGAGTCATGGTGTGCTCGGTTCCTCTGAGGTGCGGTAGGTCCATAGATCAGACCGGACGTTGTCAGAACGACAGGTTCCGTGAGCAGCGTCACAGAGTCCGAAGGACTGTAGCGGTGCATCTCGGTATTCACGCGTGTAATTGCGGTATCCACGTGTGTAAATGAAGATACCTAGCGCGTAGCCTGGATCTGGTGATAAAGGAAAATATTGAGGCATAGAAAATCGTGTGTGTTAGTGATGCTCGGAAACACATGCCATCGTTGAACTCTTCCTACAACAAGCTCTATTGTCAGGAGGTATTCAGGCACTAGGAGGGGTGATTGAATTGCATATTGGTGACGTGATCTCGATGTCTGTATCTAGAATGTTTTTGCGCGTGTTCCCTTCCTGCTCTGGCTTTTCTGTAGAGATATATCGGCAGGGTTGTACAAAATACAGTTTCAGGAAAGTATTACGTCTCCAATATTTTGTTACTTGTTTTGTGTTTTTCGCTCAGTACATGTTGTGAATGAATCGTTTCAGCTAGCCTCATTCACAAATCTCCTATGTTGACTTACGGAGGCCGTGCGGGCACTTCTGTGTGCTTTCGTGGCTTAAGTGGCCCCTTTAACTAGGTTATAGTTAAGCGTCCAGGAGTTAACGAACTTTTTTACAGCAAAAGCTGTTATGAGAACACAACAAGGGTCGCGTGCCGTGCTGTGGTTGTCCACCACCGCCACCACTGGTGTCCGTAACTGCATGATCGCACGAAGTAAAAAAAACCAAGTGAATAAAGTATTAAAGACTCAACAGGATTGAACCCAGGTCCTCTAAGTGTAAGTCTCGAATTCTACCACAGAACGTCACCGATGGTTGAAACACCGTTGCAAAATGGTCTTAGGCAGGCTTGATATCGGGCAAGGAATCGCGTTAGTACGAGTAGTAAGGCGTTTTAGAACAGCAAAGGAACACCGAGACGTAGCACATTGGGCATTGCGTAACGAGTGGGTCGTCCAATTTTCTAAACTATTACACAACCTTGTGCTTGATCACTCGTTAACTGTAGCGTAAAGCCGCTTCAGGCATAATTCTTCATCATCGTCAGCCACTGCACAAAAAGTCTACACAAATTTCCTTGCAAGTTTGTAGTGAATACCACGCTTCTCCGAAGACTCATGAAGGATATCACAGTGCCGCGCGATTCGTGGCCGATCCCCCTTGGTGGGTTGAGCTATTCCTCTCGAGTCCAACTAACCAACCAACCAAACAACCTCTAGAGTGAATCCTCCAGAATAGGTATATGCCGGCGTTAATAGGCAACGATCAAACAAAGAAATGCTGGCCTGCTACGCAAAAATTACGAATATTTATGGTGCAGGGAGTACCGAGCAAGTGTGGTTGTAGTGGCTACCCGAAGAGTGTTCAGAAAGTAAGGCTCCCAAGGGCCACTTTTATTGGTTTGGCTGTGGCTGCACTGCGCGCTCCGCCCAGGCGTGGCATTTGTTTTGGTCTCAGCTTCAACCTCATTAACATCTATGTCCTGTCAAACTAACAAGTGAATCATTACTCCCTTTCTCTAAGGAGCTGTTATTTATTAAACTACAATTACACCCAGTGAGATTGCCGAGAGACCTCTTCACTATTGCTGAACACCCCTGGAAACTAGTGCCACAAGAGCTGTTAACGAGTGTTAAATTAGATCAGATTTTATCTCGTGAATTTAATTTCATCTGTATCAGTGTCCATTATCCGAGTTTCCTAATTTCTCATTGAACAGCCTAAACTTTTCGCCTCTGACGATATATGTCAACGTGCCTTGCACTATGGTTTATCCATTCGGTATATCGTATTTCTGAAAAATTAAATTAGGAGCACGCACGCCTCAAGCTACTTCACCCGAGAAAAATGAGCGATACTTACTTTATGGACGTGACCATGGCGAGAGTGTCGATAAGCGCTTGTACCACGACTGGTTTCAGAGGCGTAGCACATTTGAGCTGGACCATGTTGACGTCGCGACATTTGGCGATGGCTGCCAAGGACTTTTCCATCTCTGCGGCATCGCGTTCAACCAGGTCCAGGTAAATGGAAGGCGTTACGGCCGCCAGGGTGTAGTCTAAGAAGTCTGACGACCGAGGGTTCATCCAGTTGATGTAAAGACGCGGAAGAGCGTTGGTTTTTCGAACCACATCCAAGAACGAGGAGTCTGCTTCCTGCGCCTGCATGCCTGTTAGAGTGACCTCAATACACTCCAGCGTCTTGTTCACCTGGAAACACACCGACGCAAGAAAGTTTTCAACGTACATTCCATACAAAGGCGTTAAGCGGATGTTCACAGGGTATTTCGTGTGCTCATTTGAGGTGATTCGAAAGCGTAAGGCATCTATTAAAGATGACGGCCTTTCTTTGAATACTTACGTTCTATCAATTTCAGCGTTGAGTGCAACAAATCTGTTGGTATTGAGCATTGGGCGACAGGAGCGAGACCTTAGTGCCATCTCACTACTGATGATGAAAATGCGCTGAAGGTACGAAGCTCTGAGGATCGCCATACAGTGTATAGTGTATATAAATTGCTTGTAATTATCGTCTTCGACAACGTACGAGCGTTGGTCTAGTGGTTAGCGCCACGCTCTTCAAATTGAGAAGTAGCTTGTTCGGCACACCACAACAGGATATTTCTCTTTCGTTTTTTTTTGCAATATATTAGCATCCATTTTTTACAACGTCATATCCGTGACGGATTTACGTCAAAGGAGTTGTGTTGGACCCAACCTAAAACACTTCCGTGTTAGAAAACTCGAACACAGAGGAGAGCATCCGGTGAACACAATGCTGGTGCTCTGTCGGTGTCCATGTCATTTTGTCGGTGTCATTTAATACTGAAAAACATCAGCGAAAAAGTAGCTAATGCGGAATCCGGGCTATTGGACGCCTATTGTACCAGTAAATAATAAAACCAAAGTGTAACTTACCTCCAAGGCTCCAATTAGGTGGCGAAGAGCGTCGACTGTGAAAGTATTGGCTTCCATGGCGAGCCGTCGCAGCCTCCTGTCACAGCGAAGTTTTGCTGCGGCGGACTTCGCGAATGCATCACCGAGGCCACAGCTGAAGAGGTGAAGATGACGCAGGGTGCCTATACAGACATGATGCAATCAGTGGTGAGAAACATCGAGCACATTTTGGTATCTACGTATTGTAATAATAAACGTGGAGGGGTTACATACCAAAACCATAATATGGTTACGAGGGAAGCAGCTAGGATGGGATCAGGAAATTTCGACTGCCTGCGATTCTTCAATGTGCACCTTAATCTATAGCATCAATGTTGAAGAAGCTGCTTCAGCGAAGAATATGTCATCGCAGTACAGCTGAACACTTAAAATTTACCCAGTGCTCTGGTCACCTTAACTGATTTATCACAATGCAATTAACTTTCTCGACAAATTTATTTCATTCGCACACTGCTTACTTTATTGGCTTTTAGTAACATAATAACGAGAATTCCATCTCGTGCAGATTCCCGCCCGCAACCATACCACTATCTCTAGAGTGGTGCATGAAAAGACCCACTGTGCACCTTGAAGTGCCGGAGATATCTAAAAAGGCAAGCCTGTCATCTGCAGCCCTCAAGCAGATCTCACTGAACCTTTTGCATTTGTCGTATGCTAACCGAATTCATGTTTACATGGACGGTTCGGTCTCAAGAAGTTCAAACGGTGCCTTTGTCATACCATCTCGGTCAATCGCCGTCAAATTAAAGACATCACATGTCACGACATCTACGGGATTCGAGCTTGCCGCTCTTTGAGCCGCTGTGGAGTTTGTTACGCGAGAATCCCCTAGTAGATGGGCCATGTTCTGCGACTCCAAGGCAGCCCTTCAATGCGTGCGAAGTCTACGACGTGGAAACTACCACCAGATGGTGTATCGTATTACTGAAATTTGTCATCACGTCGCTGATCAAGGACACGACATTGTTTTACAATGGTTGCCGGGCCACTGTGGCATCAGTGGTAAACACCTCGCTGACGACGCTGCCCGATGTGCCCACGATGGAGCGCCCACACTGTTAATACCCTTATCAAGAGTATACGCAGCTAGAGAACTTCGTCACATCGCGCATAATGCCACGCTTGCGCACTGGAATTCTCCACCTAACTACAATCATCGCCCTAAGAATCTTAAGTCATTACTCCAGAAACAACTGCCATCCAAGATTTCTCGACGTGACGCTACAATTCTGTTCCGGCTGTGGACTGGGGTAGCGTTTACTAAGTCATTCAGCCATCGCATTGGCATGGCAGATTCATCCATGTGTGAAAGCTGCAACTGTATAGAGACTGTTGAACATCTCTTGTGTCACTGTGCCCTATTTGATGAAGATCGCCGGACTCTCCAGTGTGCCTTGAATAGAGTCGATGACCGGTGATCTAATGAAGCAAAGATTTTAGGAGCTTGGTCGCGCAGCACATCAGCACAGAAAGCCACACGAGCCCTCCTGAGATACTTTACAGCAACTTCATTGAGAAACCGCCTGTGAAACTCGGCATTGTGTGTGTGATGTGACATGTGTCTATCCTTCTCTCTCTTTTTTACTGCCCTCTCCCCCTCCCCATGTGTAGGGTAGCAAACTGGACGCATAGTCTAGTTAACCTCACTACCTTTCCTACATTTGTTCTCTCCAGTAACATAATGCGTCTGCACAGAGACGCTTTCAGTTACTTTCGCACAACTTTCGCTATAATAGACGCGATTAAACGGAGTCATGCGAATGACACCTTTGTTAGGTTCTGAAGCAGTCCACGCCGCTGCGCGGAAGGTGTCCACGACAACTACTGTGGTACGACAACGTGAGCACACGCTTTCCCACAAAAAAGGTGACACCCACGCGAATGTAGTTTTTTTTAGTATAAGAAGAACAGGGCATCCAAACACGGACCCAAAATGGAACTCGGGGGACCTTATACGCTTGCTAACAACTGCAGATGCGAACACCGGTGTAAAAGGCACACAAATTTGTCTGCGCATGCCCATAGAATTTTCTAACTGAATAATCTGGCACGTGTGAAGCTTCACGTACACGATAAGTATTGAATCATTTGGTTTCATCGTTGTGCAAGGTATTCGATGGTCGGCTGCTCACGCTTGCGTTACCAGAATTATCGACATGCCATGCCCCAATCACCAGATGCGTTTCCTTTTTTTTAGGCCGGTACAAGACTCATTCATCGATCTTTCAGAATGAGTATGTACGTATCAGCTCACTTCCGTTATTACTTTTATTGCAGTAGCGATTCTATGGGCACTCTCGGCTGAATTTCACTGCCGGCGTCGGTGATCGCGGTCATTCACCGTGCATGTACACGTATCTACATACAAGAAAACGCAAGAAAGGAAGAAAAGAAAAATAATTCCGAAAAATACTCCAGCGCGCGGAATCGAGCGTCGGAACTTGCTTATATACGTGCCGTAGGCCAATGAGCCACGAAGGAGCACATCCTTCAATGTTCAAACGACAAGCTATATACATCTACCACTTACCGCTGGTGATGCCGATGTTGGAGGGACTATCGTGCTTTCAGCATTACCAGCGAGATGGCGCATTTAGCACGCGTCACCTAAAGATCGAGGGGTTTAGCGTCACTAGATCGTCACGACGCGGCGATGCACGCTCATGCGTTCATATCTCGCGGGTACTATGCACAGTGGAAAGAAAGGTGGGTGGGGGAGACGCTCAAGCGTGTGCGTGCTCATCTCGCGGTGGGGAAAATCGTATGCCTTAGGCTTTCACCGAAACGATTCTTTTGTAGTCACCGGGCGCACGAAGGTCACTGCACTCGCTGCACAGTCTTCAAAGGGCGTGCTTTCCAGACACAGCGAAGTAACAACTGATGCACTTACTCGCGTTCACCTGTACCCGTGAGTACGTGTCATGTGTCATTTGTGCGTGAATAACGCGGGACACGTTTCAATCTGCTTGCCATCCTTCGTGCGACGTTTCAATTTGTTACTATCGCATTCCTCGCTTTGCCTTTACAGCAAAGCTGTCACTTTTTTGTACTTTTATTGCTATAAAAACGTTAGACATTCTCGGTGAATTTTCCCCATGGCCGTCATGTTTGTTAATAGCATATGAATGCAACATGTATGTACAGAAAATCTTAATAAAGAAAATCAGGAAGAAATGGCTTAGGACGCGCAAGTCCAGTGATTGAAACACGTGACGTCTGCCTCTTAATTATACAATTATTATTATGTACACAAGTTACAGCTATGATGTACACAAGTTACAGCATGGTGGTACATTGTACTCGTAGTTGCTTCAGCATGTTCACTATCATTCGCGAGATGGCGGGAATGGCGTGCTTTCAACGACCGTTGCCTCGCTAGCAGCTACGTTGGGGTAGGCAGCTCTTTTTTGCCAAAAGGCAGCATCAATACAGAGTCAGATCAAACGCCGACGGCATTGGGTCAAGCACACGGGGGGCCACACGTGAGGACACGAAAACATCCAGGACGTGAGCAATGGTGTGTCACTGCCCCCGCTGTTTTTGCATCATCTCGCTGGTGACCCATGCTATAATCGTGATAGGTAAACACCAATAAATGTCACGCATACCTTGCATATGTAAAAACTTAACGCATGCTTAGGTAGGATTCATAGGTAGGTATTGTTAGAGCCCTCTTCGAGTTTTTAGTCTTCGGATGGTGCAAATGCGAGAGCGCAAAGGTGGCTTGAGTTCTGCGCATGCACGGTGACAAATCACAAAGTTTTTCGGTCCCCTAACTCCTTGGGTACACATTTCTAAAACTCTGTAGTGTTGCGCCTGAGTCGGTATATGTGCCTTTGTGTTGTACGTTAACGTAAAGGGTGTAGCCGCCCAGGCTCACACGGTTATCTGTTCAGGGATGGAGTTTGTACGTCTCGTGCTTTCACCACAAAGATTGTGTCCTGTGTCCACGCAATAGACTGCACGAAGGTGAGTTCGCTCGCTGAAATGGCGAGTTCACAAAGTAATTGAGCTGCTAGCTAGTGCTGACTAGTGGCATTAACAACTACGAAAGCCGTTTGTTTGTGCTCATGTTGTACATTCCTGCGCGCTCTTTTTCATGCGCCCATTTTGCGCTTGAGCAGCACGTAGCAAGCTTCCATCTGCTTGTCATTCTTCGTGCGGCATTGCAATTGGTTGCTGTCGCATTATATTTATTTGTGCTTGCAATGAAACTGAATTTTTTTATGATCATACGAAGCCCGCGACGATGAAGTTAACCTGCAGCTATTGTCCAACAAACTGCGTATCCCCAGAGTGGTATCACCAAAATGTTCAGGAACCAACAAACGCCGACCAAGGTTAAAGAAGCAAAAAGACGCAAGAAATACATGAAAATCCTGCAGCTTACGCTCCTCGTTCCACAACACCCACGGATTAACGGAGATAATGCGGCTATGCGAGTAGCATGAGAGGCATGCGACTCTTGCAGAATCAGGCAAACGCACTACTGCAGTGAGGTTGTGATGCTCTTCATTATTCGGTGACGCAAGAAGAGTAGCAGGTTCACGAGGTGGCATGGGCTTCCTTCCTCTTCGACTTCTTTGTTTTCTAATTGTGTTCCGCAACAAGTGCGCCGATTTGAAAAGATTGGGATGCGGTGACACTGTTGGGTGAGAGAATTGGCACTGAAAGAGGGAGAACTTGGTAGAAATATCTGAAGGAAAAAATAGGAGAAAAATGGAAGCGACAAAAATGAACTGCGAAAGAAGTAGTGAGAGAGACAGAAAGAAAGACGGGTAGAAAAATGAGGAGCAAGCTGGAGAAATCATTGTATTAAAAGCAGCAGCAATACAAACATACAAAAAGGTCGAACAAATACAGCCACGTATACTTCAACAAATCAAGCTGTGTGAATGAAAGTGAGGGCTTATGTGGGGTTTAACATCCTAAAACCACCATATTACTATGAGCGACGCTGTAGTGGAGGGCTCTGGAAATTTCGACCACCTGGGTATCTTTAGCGTGCACCCAATTGTGAGCACACGGGCTCACAGCATTTCTACATCCATCGCAAATGCAGCCGCCGCAGCATGGACTTGATTCCGTGACCTGTGGCTCAGCAGCCGAGTACCTTAGCCAT